CTGTGCCACGTGCTCTAGGTGACCCTGCGTGTGCAGGGGGTTGGACTAGATGATCTCTAGAGGTCCCTTCCAACCCTAAGCATTCTATGATTCTATGAAAATGAACCAGCCTGCGGGCTCCCCAGGTCTCCCCTGGCCTCTTCCCCCTCTCACCCGCAGAGCTGGCTCTGCTCCTGCTCAGACATAATAGCCCCTGGGTTCAGATTTCCAGGTCTGTGTTGCGCAGGACGAGCAAGGACAAAGCACAAGCGATGGAGCTACTAGGTGAGCTATCGGGTTGCACGTGGATGCTGGCACTTAGGCTCTGTTTTGACTTGTAAACTAAACACTCGGGGCGCAGACATCCTGGTGGTTTAGTGATTAGATCTGGTGGCTATGTTTGGACTTCAGGGGGTCTGGCCTGTCACCCGGCTCTGAGTAGCACATTATTTGTGCTTTAATTTCCTCATTGGTAAAACAGGGATGTGGTGAGACTTGGATTTCACCTTCTCAGTCTTGCCTTTTCTTTCTTTTTTTTTTTTTTTCTTTTTAAATTGAGCCCAGAATCTGAAATTGGAGACTGTTCCTGTTTGGCTTTGACTGGGCTCCAGTCTGGGATCTGCCTTACGGTTTTGCTCTCCAGGCTTTGAAGCAGCTGGGGTTGAATAGCTCTCACGTGAGCCTCTCTGATTTATGTGGCAATAGCTGTTATTGAGTGCACAGGAAATAACAGGTAAAACTCTACCCCATCTTTACTCTAAAACTTGATTTCTGTTGTGAATAATAGCTTGGGGATGAAATCTAAATCTGATTTAATTTGATTAAATATTAAATTTGATTAAGGAGCTATATTTGATTAAATACAGGACACGAGTTATGCTGCTTTTACTGCAGTCATGGCTCCCTGATGTGGCCCATGGCCTGTGTTTCGGTCAAGGTGGTGGTGTCATTCACCAGGCATCACCATCCCGTGCTTCGGGACCCTTAAGTGAAAGAGGATTGAAAAGCGTTCAATAGTTTGGGGGTTGGACCAGAATCACATGCTGCGTTTGGCTTGAGGTTTGCAAAACTAAACGCCCTGTTCTTTGCCTCCTCTCCTGGGGCAGAGCAGTAAATACAGTCACTAAATTAGCCTTGCACAGCAGCTATTCTGAGTGGCGCCTCTGGTACTCCTGCCCCTCTGGCTCTAACTCATGGCTGAGTGAAGCCTCTGCCTGG